TCCGCCGTTTCATACATACTTTCACACTTGTGGTTTTAATTTTCTAATCTTCTCCTTAGTTAACTAACTTGTGACTTATAATAGCTTTTGTGTGGGATCTCACAATCTATCTCTATGGAGGCTCGTCCAATGACGATACCATTTCTAAACGGCCCAAAGCTCACTACTCTTTTTAACTTTTTGCTCTTGAGCTTCCTCTCAAAGTTTTAAAACGCTTCTACTTATACAAATAAAGTTTTGCTCTCTCGAACCAAACCATACGAGCAAAAGGGTGGGTAAAACAATGGTCTGATGTGGGTGTTGGCGGTGGATTCCATTTTGACCAACGCACCAACATCAGATACCGAAAAAAGGAAGCATTATATGTTATATTTAATGGGTATGATCTAAATAATCTTTGTTCCTCAACCTTCAAATATCCCCTAAAACTCTGCCCTTCTGCTGCTGATGTTGAAGTAAAGGAGGCAAAGGTTGTGATTTTAAAAGGCTTGAAAAGCAAAGGAATCAGGAGCAGAGGAGGCAGAAAAGAAGAGGCCTAAAGGAAAGGGGAGCAGCTGGCAGAGGGAGTGGGAGTGGCAGTGGCATATACTCTTTGTAAGAAAGAAGGCATATCCAACACTTGAGAGCTTCAACTCTATGGAGGGGGAATATAGATCTTTACGAAAAATCTCCATATTCGTTTGGAAATATAAACATAAATACAAATGAAAGAGTCAATTTGGGGGAAAAGGAGATGCGCCCCCTTGCCTAAGAAGAAGAAAATTGAATGCAGAGAATGATCCTCTGGATATACAGTGGGAGTGTGAGAGTGATAGCATATCCAACTCAATGTGCGAATCCCAGAGCGTTTAAATAGAGGCAAGGAGGAGGAGGGTGGTTGGAAACACATAAGCAAGTCAAGGATGGTGAATTTGGAGAAGGGGTAGCCAAGAATAACAGTGCGAGTCTCTATTGGCAGAGATGATATTAACAGAATTCTTGTTGTTGTTCTGCTTCTGCCAAAAGAGACTTGCCCTGCAATTCCGCTCAGCTACACACCCATTGTCGCATGTTTATACTACTTGTAAGTGTTGTTGCTAATACAGATCCAAGGGAGGCACTCAAATTATAATCCTTACCCAAAAGGAAGCTCTCAACTGTGTACAGGGCGTAGTAGTTGTGGGAGTAATGAAAAAGGAAGCTAGGGTTTGTACTTCAATTTCCAAGCTTCTCATGCTTGCTTTCTGTTGTAACAACCTCGGGAACATAAATTTAGAACAAAATACTAAAATAATTGACCAATTTTGTTGCCAACTATTCCTAGTTAGGGTTCTTTATTAGTCCTAATCATCAGTTTGCTAAAAAAGAATAAAAACAAAGACACAGAAAAGGAAAAGAATAAGAAACAATAGGGCTCAAACATTCTGGATTCGACAGAGTTTCTTGCTCAGGAGAACCATTACTGGCCTTTGAATCACTCAATTCTGTCAAGAATTGAGGAAGAACGGAAAATATGATTTTTAGGTTCTTGATTTCGGATTTTCTTCAAATTCAAGAGTTTTTTTAGATGGATTTTACACTAGTTTTATGAAAGAAGTCTGAGTTGATTTGAACCAGAAAGTTGAATTTTGATGAACATCGAAAGCTGAAATTTTTGTAAGTCTTAATTTTTGGTGATCTTTGGACTCGATTATTTGTGGGTGTGATTGACTAAAAATTATGAGAATTATATCTTACTAAAGATGGATTAAAATTCTACAATTATCGCGAAGAAACTAACTTAATTCAAGTTGTATAGAGAAAGTTACAAAAATTCATAGAAAATAGGAAAGAATCGAAAACTGGTTTGGAAATCTTGAAATTTTGACAAAAGAGTCGAATGTGCCGATGATAACACTTAAAATAGAGGTTTTAGAAATTTTGGAGCTTCTAACAAGCAGAAAGCTAGTTCGGGAAGGCACACATCATCATGTAAGCAAACCACACGAATTTTAAGCAAGTAATACTTGTAAAGATCGCTAGGACTTGCTAGCATACAAGCATTCCTTACCTTAGGTGGTTAAGTAATGCATGTTAAGAACCTCGAAAGGGTAATTATGGATCAATATGAAATGTATGTATGTTATAGTAAAATCATCGTTATAACCCTCGGTTGAGATTTACAAAAACCATGTTGTTGGGTGTACCATGGATGAAGGTGGTGAGCCACTTAAGCTACTGTATAAGATGTTACGGTGAGTTCCTCATGCAATCAAGAGCTACATAGTCTCATGAACATGTCCCAACATTACAAAGTAACAACATTATAAACTGAAGGTAGAAGATATGATGAACCCTAGTGAGTGGGAAGGGATGAAGATATGATGAAGATATGATGGCAACATACACATGAAAGTGGAAGCAAAGTATAAAGAAGAAGTTCCAAATATTATCCCAAGAATGATCCAAAAGCATATATGTGAAATGGGCTACACTATACACTGGTACGGCCTCGGGCATATTCAAGGCCTTATGTGCGAATCATGGAGCCTTTAAATCTCACCTCCATCCACACCCAACTCTCTCAACACACCAAACATTACTCTTTCAGGGGTAGAGATGAATGAGAGGGCGGACCTCCTTTGGCAGACACATCATCAAATGAGTTGGGTTCATCTGCCAAAAGAGACTTGCCCTGCCATTCAACTGTTCTACCACGCACACATACATATATATATATATTCAGGTAATCTCATTATATATTCTTCCTTCCTCCTAATCATACCATGAATGTTTGTGATTCAAGGTTTTGAGTTCCAGTTGGAAGTGTTGTGGCCCGTCCCATATGTTGAGGATTGTCGGGAGAAGAATCCCACACCACACCGACTAATTAAGGGGTTGATCGTGAGTTTATAAGTAAGGAATACGTCTTCATAGGTATGAGGCTTTTGGGGAAACCAAAATCAAACCCACAAGAGCTTATGCTCAAAGTAGACAATATCGTAACATTGTGGAGGTCCGTGATTCATAACATGGTATTAAAGTCATACCCTTAACTTAGTCATATTAATAGAATCCTTAAATGTCGAATAAAGAAGTTATGAGTCTCGAATGAGTACTCAAAAGTGACTCAAGTTTCGAATAAAGGGTATACTTTGTTTAAGGGCTCTAGAGAGAAGTCAAGCCTCGATTAAGGGGAGGTTGTTCGAGAGTTTCATAGGCTTCAGGGGAGGCTCTATGATGTTCTTTGTTCGAGATAAGGATTGTTGGGAGAGTAGTCCCACGTTGAGTAATTAAAGGGTTGATCGTGGGTTTATAAGTAAAGAACACATTTTTATATTATTGTGAAGATCCGTGATTCGTAACACCATACGACTAGAAAAGAAGAATAGTGAAGCGGTTTCACAAGGGGTCGAGAGAGTATGATGAAGAAAGAAAAGGGGTGTTGAAAATAATTGATGCGTAGAAAAACAAGTAGTACGTACCCCCAACAAAAAGCTGCGTGCTTACAAATTGCAAACTAAAATCCAGAGTTTCTTTTTGCCTTTTTGCGTTTATGTGCTCACTGTTTTGTTAATAAGCAATAATGTGAGGTTCACATGTGTGTGTTTCCTTTAAACAACATCATCTCATTCCACCCCCACAAGCCCAAACCTTTTTTCCAGTTCGCTACTCATCCTGTTAAAGAATGTATTAACTACTCCCCATTCAGGACCATTTTCATTCCCATTGGACAGACAAATTTGGCACCCTACCTGTGTAGCGCAGTGCCTAGCCTACGAGAATGAAAATGGTTCAAAACAAACAAACAAACAAACAACGCCTAAATATCATTCTCTTCGAAAATAAAAATCAAAAACTTTGATTCCAACTTCCTGTGTAACAGAATATTAATCTTCGTAAGAAAAACAGAGGCATACAGAATTTTCGAAAAGTCCATATGGGTAAGGCCAAAGCATTTCAAATTTTTGTCCACTGACAGAAGCAAAAACAGTAATAAAGAGTAGCATAATCGAGGGATTAGTTTCTGAGAGGAGAGAATAAAGTGTGGTTTATAAGGAGGAAGAAACAGAGAGAAAAGGCAGGGGAAAATAGGAGTAGGGTGCGTATAGAGAAGGGGAAGGCTAAGAGATGGCCCAACAGTGATCAGAGCAGGTGGGATTAATTTGTTTGATATATCATTACATCCAAAGGCTGAAAGGCTCAGGATTTCTTTTTCTTTTCTTTTGTTTTGCTTTGGGTACACCCGAAGTAGATAGAACGATAAAGAATAAAACAGAGTCCAAAAATTAAGTGTCAGAACATGTGACCCATTTCTGTTGCTATTGCCTTCCCATTTTTACAAAACAACATAACATTACATTACAATATACAATCGATGGCAGCTAATTGGGGAACCCCGTGAGTGAACTGGGAACTGGGAACTGGGAACTGGGAACTGGGAACTGTGAACTGTGAAGCCCCCCTCCCCTTTGCTCTGTTCTGCCCTGCCCTGCCCTGCCCATGCATGTCTCCCTTATTCACTGATATTGACAAACCCCCACTATGTGCTCTGTTTTCTTGTCTTCTTCCCCACAATATGCTTCATTTACTCACTTCCCACATCCTCTCCCTAACCTTTGGACTTTCCTCTTCAACTTTTTCTACATTTTTAACTCCCCATTTCCATTTCCATTGCCATTGCCATTGCCAATTTGGAAGAGCCTTTGCTTTGAGTGACAGGAGACAGAGCACGTCATTAAAGCACACACACAAGATTACAAAAAGAGAAAAAGGGATATCTAAAATGGTAATGTGGAAAATAAATGGAGGTAGCCACAGCAAGCAATGTACTTGGCAGACAACATTAGACCCGAGGACAAGCACTATACATGTCGTACTATTGATTGTAGTTGCTTTTCCCATCTCTTAAATTGAGAAGAAGAAAAAACAAAAAAAAAAAAAAGTTAAAGGTATCCTCTTTAAACATGTAGAGTACGAACTCATAACGAGGGAAGCAAAAAATAAAGGAGAAAAAGCAATCTCCAACCTTATTTTTAATCCCCACATACCACCTTGTCCTGTATATATGTGTGTAAGCATTGAAGTATTTACGTACGAATAAGTTTGGAGAGATGGGGTTCCTCTGTTTTCGAGTTCACATGACAACAAGAGGAAAGTAGCTGAGTGATTATTTCGATCTGGCCTTTCAAAACACACACACCCCCCCCAACTTTTTATGCTATAAAAAGCCAGACCCTTCATTTCAGGTCATATTCTTCACTAACTTGTCTTAATTGGTAAGCAAGTTCCAGCCAAACAGAGACACAGACATGGTTTCTACGTTTCAGAAAAGATTCGACTCACGCAAGAAGCTACGCCTTGTTCGATCACTACCCACATACCAATCCTCTGTAATAATTCCTAAAACATTCTGTTTTGGTTATGATTTTTGTCTCTGTTTTGTCACTTCAGTTTGTTTGGGCCATTAGTTATCAAGTCCTCTGTTTATGCAGGGAAAACAGAGCAGTGAGTTCTGGAATGCTGTTCTCTTCCTTCATAAGCTCAAGCTCAAGCTGGAAGCAATTGAGAGAGAGTATTCAAATCTATTGTCCATGAAAAGAGAATACTTAAACTCTGTAAAGCAAATTCATGCCCCTAAGGTCCTTCCTTTCCCTCCCTCTTTTAAACAATTCAAATTCTTCCTAATAGTTAATATATATTACAGAAAATTAAATGGTTTATGAATGCTTGAAAGCAGGAAGTGAAGGTTGAGAAGGTCGGAGAAGAGTTGAGAGTGAAAGTGAGATGCGAAAAGGGAGGGGACAGATTGGTTACAGTGTTGGAGGCATTTGACAAAATGGGTCTTAATGTTCTGCAAGCTAAAGTTTCGTGTAGTGAATGTTTTTCCATGGAAGCCATTGCTGTCGCTGAAGATGAACAGTCGCTTAACATAAGTGATATAACTGAAGCTATCAATGCAGCCATTGATGGAAAATCATTGGCTGCAAATCAGCAGCAGAAAGAAACTCCTAAGAAAGATGATGAAATTTAGTCACTTCCTAAGCTATCAGTTGAATGAGAGTGTTTCTTTCCATCGCAATCTCTTGTATTCTTCTTTCTTTCCTGCAAATTCAAAAAACAGAGTGGTTTTGGAAAAAAAAACAGAGTGGTTTTGGAAGGAAGAGGCTGAAACTGAAACAGCCGGTAAATATGGAGCATATTAAATTAGATTCTAAATTATTGCACTAATAATATTTTTAAATTAACATTAAAAGTATTAAACTTTGCAGTCATCCGCTCATTATGATTATTATTATTATTATTATTATTATTATTATTTAACAAAATGTTAAAATTCGATGCCTCTGCTAATCAAACTTAATATATTCATCATTATTTTTTTTTAAAGTAATATAATCATTACATGTTCTGTACGGAAATAAATTTAATAAAGTGAATTTGATTTCCTTAAAATCAGTTAAAAATGGGCCGAGGTTTAAGGAAAAGAGGATCCAAAAGAATCCGGGTCAAAAGATATTTGAGGGTGAGGCCCAATATGAGACCCACCAAAGATTCGACCCGTGACACCCGATACCGATAAGCTTTTCAACTTTATTATTAAAAATATATAAAGGTTGATTTGGGTAGGGGTGCCATAAACAATGATTTGGTTGGCCTCTAATGCTTTCTTCGCTCCACTTTTCTGCATAAAATTGCGCCAAATGGACGACAGAGTTTGCCCATGATTTACTGCTCTAACCTGCTTTTCTCGCGCCTAAACTACGTCTTCCACTGATCTAGCATCTATTTCACCTTGTATATGGGTCGGTGTGCCAGCTAGAACGTTGACCCCTAAGGGAGGTGGATTGTGAGATCGGTTGCGAAGAGGAACAAAATAATCCTTGTAAGGGTGTAAAAATCTCTCCCTAACGGATGCAGCGATACATAACAGGTTATAGCACGGTGGACTTTAGCTATTACTAATGGTATCAAACCCAGACACTGAGGATGTGCCAGCGAGAACGTTGGCCCCCAAGAAAATGGGATAGTGAAATCCCACATCGATTGTAAAGGAGAACGAAATATTCCTTATAGAGGGTGTGACAACCTCTCCCTAACAGACGTGGCAATACGTAACAGACCATAGCAACAATATCTGCTAGCTGTGGACTTGGGCTGTTACAAATTGTGAGATCCCACATCGGTTATAAAGGAGAATGGAACATTCCTTATAAAGGGTGTAAAAAACTCTTTCTAACATACGTGACGATACGTAACGGAGCATAGCAGACAATATCTGCTATCGATGGACTTGGGCTACTACAAATTGTAAGGTCGCACATCGGTTATAAAGGAGAACAAAACCTTCGTTATAAGAGTGAAAATATGTCCCTAAAAAGAAGAATAATATCTAATAGGAGGGTGTCAGCAAGGATGTTGACTTCCGGGAGGAGTTGACTGATATAGTTCATACAAACAGATTAAACAAATCTTGGTCTTGAAACTAAGGTCCATAACAATTCACAATTCACTACGTGGAAACAAACTCCCTCAAAGTCAAACGAGTATAAACTGTAATTCCCAACTGGCAAATATACCAGCTTAAGCATCGGTACTTTTGGCATCAGAAGTTAACGTATCAGTGGTTAAGACACTAAGATACATCAAACCAATCCCCATGAATCCCCTACTACTCTATGCATCCCTGGAAAAAATTTCACATCACGGTGTACTTACTATATGTAACACAAAAGTTAAAATAGATGTCGAGCGACGAGACAACCGGCTGACTGCTGCAGCAACTTCAGATTGGTAGTTTAGCTGGAACAGCAACCGCCTTTCTTGACCTCGGAGACGTCCTTACTGATATCAATTTTCTCCCCTTTCGCTAGAACGGCTGATGCAGCAGCGTCGTCGCTAGCATCCATAGCCTTCTTGCTCACTATATGGTAAATTTGTGTAAGCACTTCAGCAAAGGCGTTGTCCACGTTCATGGCTTCAAGAGCAGAGGTTTCCATGAAGTAGAGGGACTCTGTCTCGGCAAATGATTTTGCATCCTCAGTTGAGACTGCCACAAGGTGGCGAAGATCTGATTTGTTGCCAACTAGCATTATTACAATGTTGGGATCTGTATGATCTCTCAACTCCTTTAACCATTTCTCAACATTTTCATATGTGGAATGTCGTGTAACGTCGTACACAATCAGGGCACCAACAGCTCCTCGATAGTAAGCACTCGTAATCGCTCTATACCTGTGAACTTGAGGAGTTAAGGTGACAGAGACGAGAGATGTGGCAAAGTAAAGCAAGTGCAGATTTTAAGATGAAACTAAGTCTAAACTCTGTCCGTTCACTCTAAACTATCTTTTATGACCATCCCTCACTCGTTGAAAACAGAATTGGGCCACTTTTTCCAGATAAACAAGACACTGAACATAAATCTTAGCTGCAGAACATCTAGGATATTAGCATTAATGGGCTCTGTCATCCTCAAAAACTGTAACCACCTAAGCCCACCGCTAGCAAATATTGTCCTTTTTTAGCTTTTCCTACCGGACTTCCCCTCAAAGTTAGGTTTCTATACCCTTACAAGGAGTGCTCCGTTCCCCTCTCCAACCGATGTGGGCTCTCATAGAAATAGTCTCATACAACACCCCATGTCAACCATCTCTACATCAACATGGAATATGCATCAAACCGTGAAATAGATCTTCACACAGACATGACCTCTCAAAACCAGTTAAACAGATTTACTGTAACCTGACTTTGATATACCAGTAATTGATATTCATTTGCTCTCTTAATGTAACAGCCCAAGCCCACCGCTAGCGGATTTTATCTTCTTCGAGCTTTTCTTTCAGGCTTCCTTTCAAGGTTTTTAAAACGCGTATGCTAGGAAGAGGTTTCCACGCACTTATAAACCTCCCCAACCGATGTGGGATCTTATACTCAACCCCAAACACTAATGGAAGAGGTAAACTTTTCTCGACACTTATAAACCCACACTCAACCACTTACATAATAGAGGTGGAAGAGACTAACACAATTGCTAAGAATGGAAAGACAACTACTTGGAAGAGAAAAGTAAAGAAACAGTAAGCTTTTCGAAAATTCACACTACAGCTAATGAATCTTCTAACATACTCAAGAACTTTGGGCGCATTTGCTTGTGCAATTTGTATCGTGCCTGAGTTACAATTTAAGAGAAGAGGGCTCCTGCTTCAAGTCATAAAGACATGTTTCTAGCATATGCATTACCAAACCAAAATTGCATTTGGAGTTATCAAAAAGCTTTCCATATTGAAAATATGATTGGAAGACTTGATTTGCTATCTCTCTTGTTCCTTTCTCTGTGCTTTTTTATGGACGAGGTAGCATATAGCACGATGACCAAGTATCCGGTTAGATATAAGTAACCTAAGTTCTGTTAGGAATCACAAACCTCTACAATAGTATGATATTGCCCACTTCGAGCATAAACTCTAATAGCTTTGCTTTTGGTTTCCTATCAACGCATGATTATCCCCTAAATAAGCCGATGGGGACTCCCCATCAACAATCCTCAACAATATTTTAGATCCACCAAACCCGTCTGGTACCCCATTTCAATCAACAACTAACCTATGGAACCAAATAAACAAAGGAACAAGCATAATCCCAAATCAAACAAACATAATAAATACCACTAATCGAAGCTAAAAAAAACAATTATATTAGGGGAAGGCACATTTCAAAATCAGTAGAAGCAACACAAGAAAGAAAAAACAATAAAACAAGAGCAGAGCCCCGTATGTCGCACAATATTTCCACCTAAAACGACAAGGACCCAGATCATAAAATGTAAAACCAGAAACATAGAAAGCAAATAAAAGCAAGGAGGGGAAAAGATCACCGTTCTTGGCCAGCGGTATCCCAAATCTGAGCCTTAATAACCTTGCCATCAAGATTCAAACTACGAGTAGCAAACTCAACCCCAATAGTAGACTTGGATTCGAGGCTGAACTCGTTTTTGGTAAAGCGGGAAAGCAAATTGGACTTGCCAACGCCAGAATCTCCGATTAAGACGACCTTGAAGAGATAGTCGTAGTCGTCTTCAGCTCTGTACGCAGACATTTTGCTGAAGACCTCTCAGGTACAGAGCCGTGGAGATTCAGAGGGAGAGAGAGACACACACACAGAAAGAGGGTTTTCCTCAGATCGCGCGACTTTATCTCTCTCGCTGTAAAAATCCTTTTATTTTTTATCGGGGCTATGTTTTTTTAAAAAAATTAATTTAACCCTTTTTCTTTTTTTTGTTTGTTTGAAGAAAAAATGCGAAGGAGCCGCGTTCTGCAGCTGGAGATGGCAGAACCAACAAAGAAAATTGTCCCTTTTCAAAATTTGAAAGTAGGAGCGGACAGGACAAGATTAACCCCATAAAACTGTCTTAATGACACCCCTTTTCCACTTTTTTTTGCTTCATATAATATACGAACTTCAGAACAGAGAGACAGAGAGAGAGAGAGATTCCACAAACTAACCAACACCCACCACTAATTAATGCCTAAAGTCAAAATCAGCAAAGAATCGGACCATTTTAGGCTGCCATTCTGATCCCTTGTACCCTTTTCTTATGGCATCCTTTCATCAGAGTAAGTACTTGAGAAAGAAAAACAAGCTCCCAAAATTTCAGCGAATATATGTCTACTCATCTATTCATTACAATTTGCCCAATTTTCCTCCCCTGTTCTTCTTATGCTCCAAACAGGGCCTTGCCAAGTCCTGGAATCTCTGATGTCACATGAATGCATTAATGGGTCAATCATTATATGGCTACTCTTTTTCAATCTGTTGCAATTCAAACCCTCCATAAGGAATGGTCAATAAATTCTTTTCCTCTTTGATCTAAACCCCTTTTACACATTACCCTCCAATTTCATCTCCGCAAAACCAAACCCTCCATTAATGATAAGCTCACTTGATTCTGAAGTCTCCGGTGTGTCATTCCTTTGCCTTCCACGCCCACCAAACAGGGGTGTCTCTCAAAATAAAGTTGAATGAAATGAACCCAACAGCTCTATTATTATTAATAATAGACCTTGGACCCAAATGAAGGGAAAAAAAGACAGCCCAAATTCACCATCATGCTAGTCACGTCTTCTCTATCATTATGTGCACAGCCACATACGTCCATTTCAATATTCCTCACCCATCTCATTTAAACCTCCGAAAAAGAGAACTGCTTTGTCTTCTTCAACCACCGATCCCTTTATTTTATAACATTATCTTAATCTCTGTTTTTCTGGGGTTCAAATTCAATTGGGTTCCCGACTCCATCAATGTCCATCCCCGAACTGCCATTTTCACCTTCTAATTTCATTGCCACTTCCCATACTCCCACAGTTCAGAAGGTATCCAAAGCCACTTCAGACAGATTGCTTCAGAAATTCTTCGATGCCACAGAATTTGGATTCGATTACGAGAGAAGCGGTCTCTGGTCTCCCCCTCTTCAACGCAGTGTTTATCTGAGCGCTTCGGGTGAAGTTTTCAATCAAGCGGATTTGCATAGGAAACTAGAGAGTGTGTTGAGTTCTCGTCGGAAAAGAGAGGAGAAATGTCGTTTCAAATTCCGAGTAAGCTGCTGCCTTTCACTTCAGATTTGAACTAACAAATCTCTTTGATATTCGCTTTTGTGGTTCTGGGGTTCTCTGGAATTAGATGTATGCAGTTTATATGTTGTAGGTGTTTTGGTGCTCTGTGAGGCAAATCTGAAAGCTGCCATCTTTACAGCTATGCTTCCATTCTTCCATTACGGGATCAATAATGGAGCTTCACAGTTGAAGGGTAGAAAACAAAAACAGAGAGGGCCCAAGAAGACAAAAAAGATCCACCCAATACAGTTCCTATTTTATTTATTCTGTACAATTTCAGTAGTTGATATTAACAGATTGTTGCTAATCCATAGTTGAAGCCTCTAACATGAATCTCTTTGAGCTGTTAATCTGAACCCCAACTCTTTCAAGTTCCAATTGAACACTGTGCTTTCTTTTTTGTTTTGTTTTCTTGGCATGTGAAACTTCTGCCTCTCTGCATTCCCCCACTCCCTGACCAAACCTCACCACTGCAGACAAGCATTATTCTAACAAAAACATTAGTTGGTGAGCACATGAAAATTAATTATTGGGTATGTCAGCGCTGTATTATGCACTAACTCATCTCATCGCCATTACATCCAATCCTGGGTGAACCAATGCTGAGTTGATCAATTAGCTACAGATGATTAAACCTCTCTTCCAAATTAACATACTTTTAATATCACTAATCCATCTGTACTTAAATCTCTCAATCATTTTAATATCACTAATCTTGTTGAATAATTGAGTAATGACAGCACATCTACCTATGTAGACTTATGGGTGCAACATCTTGAGAGCTTTTCTTACCCATCCGTACTTAGATATGTTAAATGAGGAAAAAAAGAAAATATATATTTTGGGTGTCTAGTGTCATAATCATACTTGTACAAGACGTGTTATATATGGCTTCGTGTTGGATGTTTTGGTCATGTTTGTCCAACACGTGTTATCCATAACCACATTCCCGTTCAAAACCCTTTTTACTTACTTTCATGTTAGATTGACTTTTATTATCCTTTTGTTGTGTCAATACGATGTGTATGATTGATCACCAAAATCATGTCTACATATGTCATGACTAAAATGACCCAAAATGTACTACGAGAGATACAACTAGTTGTCAAATTGTCATCTTTTAGCTTATAATATTTATTTCTTTCAAATTGTTTTCAACCCATTTTCTCTCTCACACCCTCTAAAACATTTCTTTCAAACATGACTTGTGACTCCATCTTATGTCAAAGTTGTTTGCCGATTTGTTTGCAGTATTAGAATAAGTATCACACCATGGCCGTTTGGTAGGTGGAGAGACCGGATTAGTTTGATGTGCAGTGGGCCCAGTCGTTGGATGGATCCAACTACTTCGGGATGCAGGCCCAGGAGAAGTGGCAGCCCATTATGTATGAAGCGCACAACAGAGGAAGTGGATTGGGTCATTGAATTTCTTGGAGACTTCTGAGTTTTCCTGAATAAACTTTTCCCTCAAGGAACACATTTGGGTGACGGTGGGAGATGGGGTAACAGCTCAGCTATTACAAACAAAATTTCCAAAAAGAAGGCCAAAAGTCAGAAATAATGGAGACTCGTGCGTCACATAGCTCAATCCTTTGAGTATTAGGCCATGAAAATGGGTACATCCTGTCCAAACGGCGACCCCTTTGTTGTTGACAATGGGGGCCTCTTGCATTCTTCCCAGCAAACCCTCCGACACCCTTTTTCATTTTTTCAACCATAATCTTGGACTTCCCGCACCTCTTTCCCCTTGCTCTGCTTTCACATCAGTATAAATTTCTCTTTTTGAGTGTCAAATCTAAACCAGACCTTGCTCCTTCAAATCTGCCTCATTCTCATATGAATCTAAACCAAACTTTCATCATGGTGGCATCTGCTCTGCTTATGTTTCTCTTTAGTGTAAGCTAAGAAAGATTGAGTTATGATGGGCGGGGAGATGATCAGAAAATTAAAAAAACAGTAGCCACGAGGGGCTGTCTGAATAGTGGGCTAAGATTCTCATCTTAATATACATTAAAATGAATGGACATGAAAAGGGTGGGTGTGTTTTGAGGTATGGGCAAACCAGGCGTTAGTTCTTGGCTTTTCTTTATACGCTTGACTTTTCCTACAAAAACAAAACAATTCCGGCGTCGATAACATCGAAAAATGTGCGATTTTTATTTTTTGTTGGTAAAAAACGTGTTTCTTCGAACCAAAGGAAACATGTTGTATGTATATGTCCTTTCTTTATCCAACTTTTAATGCCGGCTTTCCACCAAGTTTTGTTGGTGGAAAATGTCATCAATTTTCTTCTTTCTTTCAAGCAGCCTATATTTATGACTCTTCTTCATTCCACCTTATGTCTGCTCTTCTTTCACTACAAACTACATTAATTCAAATGTATATTTTATTTTACCAAATCAATTTGAATAGGACCTGTTATGGGTACAATTTTGAAGCATAAGGGCCCACAATCACGTAGAGTCGTTGAAGCCATGTGAATCCAATTTCACGACCCTCACAATATGTCGAACTTTGATTGATAGAGTACTCGTAACAGCCCAAGCTCACTTGTAGTCTATATTATACTTTTTTATTTTTTTTAAGGGAAAAGTTTATAAACATTTGTAAATAATGTTTCGTTTCCTTTTCTAACTAATACGATATCTCATATTATTGGAGCCTGTGGGACTCATCACTGCACTGTGACTACCTTTTTTGCAAGTCTACTTACGAACATGACTTATCGCCTTAACATAAAGTTGACGTGGACCTTTGACCAAATTATTCCCTCAACCTAACTAAATATATATTAAAGCATAAATTAAAATATAAGTTTTCTTTCCCACAGCCATCATGGATTACCTTATGTCAACCAAAAATAAAAACATGGATTTGAATGCCAGTGTGGGACCAAGGGTAGGGATGTTATGTGTTATGAACTTGCAACTCCACCATTATGTTCGAGTGATATGCAGTAAATGGCGGCGGCGCAGCTCCTATGGGTTGGGCTGGATATTCAATTTGGGTCTGCTCTGCCGTGGAGACAGGGGACTTCCACTACTTGTAACCTGCATTTCGTCTACTGTCGTCGGCGGCCACCTTACGACGCACCGAATTCCACCCCCCCCCCCCCTTTTTTTTT